CAAAATGCTAAATTTAGAGTTCTGCGAAGATAGCTTACTGGCAGTGAAATAGTGTTTCAGTCCAGTAAACTAGTACGGTAAGAGTAAAAGCACAAACGTATCCCACCTAGCAGTTATCAGAGTTATTGTAAGATATATTACAATTCGTGGAGAATTAAACCAAAAAAGGTAAATGTGTACACGATATCTACCACAACAAAATGTAGGTTATTCACAGAGAAAACACGTAAAAATAAGTTCAAAATGTGTAATACAAATAATATAGGTACATAAATTAGTTTTATAAATATTACAGTAAATATGACTCCATAACACTGTAAGACTTTATCAAAATAAATTTCTCCATAGTTGAATTTTAATTGGCTTTTCACTTTTTCATTTTTCATCTAAATTGACTTGACAAGTAAATGTTTGATTAGACTTTTCAAAATGTCTTGCCCAAATACATCAGATTTTTTTCCAGATAAACCGTGTCTTTCATTAACGCTTTCAAAATCATTGATTTCAAGTGAGATCGGCGGTTGACATCAGTCAGAGAAGCACTGGACAGCTGTGTCGTCAGATTGTGATTGTCCACCTATATGCGCCGATGAACCCAGTGTGACCAAACCCAGTAATTTCATGTTGCCAGGCCTTAGCCTCTGTAACTTATGTCATTTCGTGATTCACCTCACAACATGAATGTCCTAAGTTTGATCCTCGATGGGTTCGTGGTGCGTTCTGTTGAAGAGTCTGAAACTACGTAGCAACAGATGTTCAGTGCACATTTTAAATTTTTGCCTTAACCAGAAGTACAAATGAATTGATATGTACTACAGTCTACAGTACGTTTCTTGTCACTTAATTTAGTGTGAAGAAAGAATCATACTTGACAGACAAACTTATGTGAAGTCACTTGATATTAATAGGTTACAATCTGAATATCTGAGTAAAAGTTATAAGTTTCCAGACCGTAGATGTTACGAACTTCTTGGAATAATTTGAGAGCCGAATCAGATTGATTCATTATAAATTATATAAATTAATCCCAGCGTGTTTAAGAAAAAATCAAAATAAGATTTTTCTGAACGTTTCGCTGTGTAAGCCACAGCTTCTTCAGCAGAATTATTCGGATTTTATTAATCATGAAAATATATAGTCAAAAATTTTTTTTACATAAATTGAAGTCAGTTGATTTGAAGGTCACCTATCGATAGACATTTGTACGAATAAAAATATGTAGGCAGTCATCATATATTTGAAATGAATAATGTCAAATTGTTATTGTTTACATTTTTCTAAAGTTGATTTTTAGGGATTAGTTTTGCACGTGTGTGAGTGTATACTATTTGTCATATGGAAAGGACGTCACTTAACATGTAATAAACATGATAATACATTTTTTAAAAGGTCATGGAGGCTCATAGAGGTTTTTGTTATTTTTTCATCTGTGAATAAAAAGACAGTGGCAGCGAAGAAAATTTTCTTTTCGACGAAGTCATCATCTAGGCTGTACATTCGTGTATTTATATCAAATGGATGGGAAAGTTCCAGAGTAATTTCTGGTTGGGGGTTAAATTAATAAAAATTACAATTAGGAATTAGAATGCCATAATAAACAGGGGGATGGGTCGAGTACAGCTGTGCCTTACAGTGTGGTGAGAGCTGTCTGTGAAAAACGAAATTGTAGACAACAATTGACGTCAGTGTTTACGTCCCAAATAGGGGTCATGAGAAAAAACAAGAACAAAGCCTAACCTTGAAGAACCCAACAACCAATTACAGAAGACCCTTTCGATATGCATTGGCTATCGTTGATAACCAAGATTTTTCAATTTTCTGTTTTCCCTTCTGCTCCTTTTTATTGATAATATTATCTGGTAGCTTTTCCGGACAACCATTTCCAATCAAAAATCTGTTTTATATTGGATATCTCGTTCTCCATATCACCATTATCTGTTATAATATTTCCAGCTCTGTTAACGAGATTTAAAGCTACTGAAGCTTTCATTCCTATTGGATGATCCGATTTGAAATTCAAATACTTGTTGGTATGTATAGGTTTTAAGTGATTTATGTTAATGAGATTCCATCGGTAGTTAAGTCATCCTGCTTACTGTTTGCTGACGACATCAAGATATGGAGGGCTTTACACGATGACAGTGATCAACTTGCTTTGCAGGAAGATTTAAACTTGTTAAGTGATTGGTGTAAGCACTGGGCCTTGGAGATTAACTTAATCAAGAGTGTAGTTATGCATGTATCTCATAGTTACGTGCATAATTACTCAATGAATGGCATTACTGTCCCAGTGGTCACTGAGTACAAGGACTTGGGAGTGGTTGTGCAGCATGACTTGAAAACAGCAACAAACTGTAGAGCTGCAGCCACTAAGGGTTTTCGAATATTATGGGACATACGCAAGGCTTTTGCGAACTTTGACGCTGATATATTTCGTATGTTATATCGAATCTCATTTGGAATATGGGATCCAGGCAGCGAGCCCGTGTTTCAAATACGAAATAGACTTATTAGAAAGGGTGCAAAGAGTAGGAACTAAGCTAATAAAGGGTTTCTCAACCCTCTCATATGAGGAGAGGTTAAGTCGACTGGGTTTATTTCCACTGTCATACAGACGACTTAGGGGTGACCTAATACTAGCATACCGTATCCTAAGAAATGATTTTGGAGCCAATTTATCTAATTTATTTCTTCCTTCTAGCACCAACCAATTGCGAGGACATCACCTCAAGGTTCAGAAACCACGGTCGAATCGTCTGCGTCTGGAAATCCGTTTTTCGCATCGAATTGTGAACTATTGGAACTGCCTACCGGAACACGTCGTATCAGCGCCATCCGTTGATTCATTCAAGGCGAGATTGGACCTTCTGTGTGTCACAAATCGAAAGGATTAACACAGGCGTATAGCCTACTATTCTAAATAAATTGTAAACTGTAAACTGCACTAGCTTCTTGATATTTCAGTTAAATCCTGCTTATTAGCTCCAGCAAACATGAAAACTACTGCTTACAATTTTTTTCTGAAGATATCTTAAATGAAACGAAATGCTTACGCGCTGCTTTTTGTGCCTGCCTACAAAAACTGGAAGTCAACTATAACAAATGCTTTAAGTATGCAAATAGTTTAAGGCCATTCATTGTAACAACTAGGCTTGATGGTAGTTAGATATCTGCAGAATGTTTCAGGGAAACTAATTTGTTTTGTAAGGATCACAGACTGATGTAATGAAGTCTTGGGTTGGCGAACTTCTTTCTATTAGTGTAATGAATGGTGACTGGAGGCGAAATGAAAAGAGACACCACTGGTTCGAGTACAGCTGTGCCTTATAGTGTGGTGAGAGCTGTATGCTAGCCAAAATTGGTAGACAACAATTGACGTCAATGTTTACGTCCCAAATCGGGGTCATGAGAAAAAACAAGAACAAAGCCTAACCTTGAAGAACTCAATCAACCAATCACAGAAGACTTAGCGTGGGCGGATACCATTCGCAGACCGGACTGTCTAAGAAACGGCAACAAAGAGATAACACAATGATCTCATATACCACAGCAGGATAGTATAGTGCAAGTTGCACCGAGATTTTCAGAATTAAAATGTGTCAGTGCCTAAGATTCAAACTACAAGTTACTTCACTAATTTTATAGACTGAAGACTATTCGCTAAGTGTTAATAATGCGGGGGGGGAATTTGTTGACCAAAACTTTTCATCTTAAACTGAAAGCAGCTTATCCATATGGAGCTATATATCTTCAAATGTGATTTTTACTCTAAACACTACTTTACTTTATTACATATTGATAGCTTCTTTCTGTCATTTTCATACATTTAAGAGGTTATTGTTCCGATGATTTTCTAGGCGGTTTCGACTGATTCAGGTCTCTTCCTTAGTTGAGTCAAACTGAGTACAATACTGATGAGTTAGTTCGGTCTCAAATGAGCGAGCGAAACGACTATACGATGCTGAGGTCATTTAGATCTGACTAACAAACACTACTGCTTAATGCGAATGGTACCTAAGTACTCTCAAGTGCGTCAGTGGCACAGCGGTTAGGACTGTCACCGATCATGCAAATGGTCTGGGGTTCGATCCCCTACCGACGCACACCTGATATCAATTGGTCAGCCTGGTATTAGATGGTTGGAGGCAATTGGCAGGAAGCCTTGGACCTAGGTTTCGTGCTAGTTGGCACTCACCAGTCAGCAAGGCGTATCTGCAACCTTGAATCCACTGCAGTCAGAGACGTCATGAGTTCAGGTCGTGATTGCCCTGTAGACTGTATTGGATATTTTGATGCAACTACTCAGTAACTAGTGTAATGTGTCTAGTCCTATCTTCGCTGCAGACTGAATTCTATCAGTCAAGCTTGCAATGTGGCCACCATGCCACTAGGTGTCTCGCCATTACGGTGCACTGTGAACTGTCGGTATTACATTCAAAGTGTAGGTGTCACACATATTTTCAGTTTCAAACATTACAATTCCATTCAGTGAAGCAGCAATCCTTTCGGTCACCGTTTTATATAAAGGACAAAGACCAGAGTTAACTAGCGGTGGGTGTTTGAATATTTAATCAAGGATGAATGAGCCTCTTTCGAATTTATCATCTCTACGGCTATAAGGAGTTAGCACGAAACCCGTTTATCGCAAAAACGCCTATAGATCCCTGAAGTGAATTTTTATGACTGTCAATCCAATAAATATGGTTGATAGCTTGTCACACAAAAAAAAATCTGATCCGAATAACTGAGTTTTAACTAATTGTGACTGTGTCCTGCATAATCCTTTACATTTTAGAGCTCATTAGCCCCATATAAAACAAGACAGCCAACTGGTTTTCTCAGAACAAATAGTTCAAAATAAACATTGTCATGAGATTTAAGTGCAGTGCGTTGTTTTGTTACCTCAGATAGTACATACAAACATACATACGTATACAATTTGATTTGTCACGTTGGTAAAAAAACACTAAAAATATATAGATTGAAAGTTTCTATAACCTTAATTGTATAGGACAATGGAAATCGAATAACTGAATTGTAGATAAGCACTTTGTGCATACATATGTGAGTGTGTGTGTGTGTGTGTTGGTATACGACGTGTATACGCGTCAGTGTGACTACCAATGACCAGATTAATTTCTACTTAATAATGCATAAATTAGCTCAACTAGACATTAATTCAGTCTGGCTGTAACAGTTTTTGTCACATAAAAATAAATGTGGTGATAAAATTTTGGAAATTACACATCTTATAATTATGATGTTTACCAGAAGAATTGCTCAGATTGGATTGAGTACTATTATACTTGTGTTATGTAAGTATTTCGGATTGAAATTTGTTCTGTTATTATCATTGTTATTATTACTATTATTAATTCCTTTACGTTCGCAGTGGAACATAGGGTGGCTTGAAGCTAGAGGTTTGAATTTTCGGTAGCAGTGGTGTTTACTTTTACGGGATGGGGTTGCTAGCCTCATGCCCAACCTCCCCTCTTTACCAGTCTCATTATTGACTCAGCGAGGGTTAAGAGTGCGTTCGCCGGGGATTTATCCCCGAGAAAAACGAAGACATTAAGTTATTTTCACATACTTACACCAAAGCTGTAAATTAGAACGTAAGGCGAATGGGGTTTTCAATCGAATGTAATTAAATCATCCATAGACAGGGTAGACATAAAGATAATACAAACTTTGAGATATATAGAGTGCAATTTTCAAGATCGCGGACTATATAGGCGTTGGTCTGCAGGGATTTGATTAGTTACAGGATTTCATCATAAGCTGATATCAGCTAGATAAATCATTAGAAAATCTGTTTCGTCCTGCAGACTATAGCTATAGGTGAATATCAAGTTCATTGAAAAACTTCAATGAAATTCAGTCAACCACTGTATTCTTTCCTTTAGTTCAGTATATTACCACAATCAACTAGATGTGATCGAAGGCAGTCTTCTATAGATCACGCTTTTTTCTCTTTCCAGCAATAAATGAATATATATTTGGTAAAATGTTCTCCAATTTGCCTAGTGTTATGCCCAGTTTACTTGTTTGTGATTGAGCACTGCGTCGGTGGCTTAGCGATAGAACGCTTGGCAGCTATACATGTGGTCCGGGGTTGGATCCCCAGCCGACGCACTCTCAAACCTCGCTAAGCCAGCGATAAGACCGGTGAAGAGGGAAGATTGGGCATAGGGCTAGCAACCCCATCCTGTTAAAATAAACACCACTGCTACAGAAACTTCAAAGCTCTAGTCTGAAGCCCTATGTTTCACTGGGAACGTAAAGGAATAATAAAAATAAATAATAAGAAGGAGCACCACAAATCAATAAACGAACATAGAGGCACTTAAACTAATTAACTCATATTCCTTTCGTGTTGAAATAATTAAGCAACTGGAAATAATGAAAACTAACGCGAAACTACATTTCTTTTCAATGACTTCAATCTGTCTCTGGAATAAAATTTTCCACACCGTATTTTCAGTACAAGTATGGAATTTTCAGCATGGATTTCGGTAGCCCAAATTTTGCAGGCCGACCATAGATATCGGGTGTGCGTCGGCAGGGGATCGAACCCCGGACCATGTGCATGGTCGGCGAGAGTCCTAACCACTGTGCCACCGACGCACATTTATAAAGGTCATTGAACAGAATCTTTATAAATGATGTTGTACTCCAGACGACTATTTTCTGAGGATTTCACATGTTTATTTTGTAAAACTGAAAATTGGTCCGATTTTGACCAAGGAATTATTTGGGTGTCTTCATTGAAAGATAAAACTTGTCTGAAATAACTCCAAAAATGGGCTCTTTCACAAACTCCAGCACTGCACAGGCAATTGAGTCACATCACACTTTATATTACCAATTTATACGTATGTGAGCGCATATACACAGGGTTGAATATTCACGCCTTGTACGTGAGCCCAAAAGTCTTGAAGAAAATTTCAACCATAAAATCGCAAGAAGTTCATTTAGTAGGCTACTAGCCTCGTCAATACCAGAGTGTATTGTTGCTATAAATCATAAAAGTGATGTTTAAACAGCTATCAAGGTTATACGCAAAATCCGACAGGCGTGCATACTATGTATGCTGAGGCGATAGTCATTCGTAAGACTGGATAGTGACTGTGTACAAAACCAAATCATTTTTTATACTTGGCCTACCTTCGTTATTCTTATCTGATTATATTTCAAAGGAAAGTGTTAATTATTATCCTCCTTATTCTGAAATTATTTAACACTTCATTTATTTATACTGGCCTTTCACTTTTTTATTTGACTTGAGAAGTAAATACGTGTTTGAAATGTATGGCGCGAATATATCACATTTTTGAGATAAACCTCATTTTATTCAAACGTTATCCAAAGAATTACTAATATAACAGCTTGAATATTGAAACCGTATGAAATAGACATAGCACACAAGCCAGTCAAATCACTTCATTCATGGATATTGTGCAAACCGAAAGACATCCAACAGAAAAAGGAGATCAAAAAATAGTACCATTTACAAAATAAATTGTTTGTGTGAACTGTAACAGACATTACATCAGCCAAAGTGCGTGTCCCCTTAGAATCAGAATCCAGGAACACATATCACCTGTGAAAAGACATGATATATATTCTTTCATCATATCATTGCATGTAGATAATTATGGACACCAATTTTATTGGGATGATGTCGAAAGTTTAGACAGAGGAAACACCGAAAGTGCAGTCAGGGAATTCCTAGAAGCCTGGTACTCAAACGAATCAGCCAGTGATTAACAAACCTGTTAATATAAACCAAATATACTAATCAACTAATAAAAAGTAAATCATTTGACGAGAAAGTTCAAAATCCAAGTCAGTAAGAAACGATCAATACAGATGTAAAGATGGTTACAGGGAGACGCAATTCTATCACTCATGGAAAATTTAAATTGGCTCACTTTATGCTAAAAATTGCGCTGAAAGGGGATGTTGTCCAGAAGGACGGACGACGAAAGCTCCGCAACTAAACTAACCAGCTCAGAGAACACTAGTAATTGCGAATTACTAATATATTCAGTGCGTTTCGGAATCAGTTATGAGAACAAATAATTTGTGTACGGGATGCCTAAATGAATAGTTTGTTTATATGAAACAAGTTCAAAAACTGTCCAAGTATGTACAAACATACATACCTAGTTTCCCTATCGGTCTTCATCCATCTACTAGGTAAACAACATCCTAAGCTCCATTGTGAATAAATTTTGTTTTGATAAAGTCTCACAGTGTTATACAGTAATGTTTACTGATAACGTTTCGAGCACAATTTATTGCTCATAATCATATCAAGGTAATCACATGACTTCCTAAATTCATTTATATAGTTCCGTTGTTTTTCACTTGATTTTCACTTGATTTGATTGATAGTAGTATTTTCCGTATTTCGGGTATGAGTGATGAATCATTCCTATTGCATGTGTTGGGTGTAGATTCGATGAACAAGGATTCAGTAATCAACCTCTCTCTCCACCTACCTAGATTACTTTTTAGAATTTTAACCCTCTCCCACCCTATTGTGTGGTTGTGTGTTAATGCATGCATTGCAATTGCTGAGCTTTTTTCTAAATTACTTATCTTCTCTGGGTCAACCATTCTTACCTTAGCTAAATTCTTATGTCCTGACAATCTGACTACCCGTGACCTACTAGTTTGACCTATGCAGTTGTTCATCGAATCTACACCCAACACATGCAATAGGAATGAATCATCACTCATACCCGAAATTCGGAAAATACTACTATCAATCAAATCAAGTGAAAATCAAGTGAAAAACAACGGAACTATATAAATGAATTTAGGAAGTCATGTGATTACCTTGATATGATTATGAGCAATAAATTGTGCTCGAAACGTTATCAGTAAACATTACTGTATAACACTGTGAGACTTTATCAAAACAAAATTTACCCATAATGAAATTACACTCTACCACAGTGCAAAGTTTTATTCTTATATCAACCTGTATCTCCTTCTACCTACCTATATTACTTCTTAGAATTTTAACCCTCTCCCACCTTGTTGTGTGGTTGTGTGTTAATGCATGCAATGCAGTTGCTGAGCTTTTTTCTAAATTACTTATTTTCGCGGATGGGATCAATCATTTTAACCTTAGCTAAATTCTTTTGTTCTGATAGACAATCTGACTACTCCTGATCTACTATTTTGACCTATGTAGTTGAATTCACTCATAGTCGCTCCAAGGTATTTTGTAAATTATATTATTTTGTCTAATTGGGTCAACCTATAGGGTCCTTTAACCTACAGAGCTTGTCCAACCTCAGTGAGTTTGCCACCCTAATTCCTGCTTTATTGAGAATCCTACGTAGGGCCTCAGATGTCACTTCCTTATATGGTGAAACTGTAAGTGCCTTATATTCTGTCTTATTTATTTGATCATTATTAGTTTCACCATTATCTTTTTTATTTTGCTGTTAACCTTTACTGATTTTCCTAATGAATTTTATAGGATAGTTATTTGACACCAACGTTTCTTCTATCTATTTCATTTCATCATTTAGATCTTTTCTCATACTACTTAGTGCTACTGCTTGGTCTGCTGGACACTTAACTAACCATTTTTCATTATTCTCTAGTTATTCTCTCTGTTCTCTAATAAATGAAGTTGGAAAGTTGTGTGAATAACTTGATATGATTATGAGCAGTAGTAATAAATTGTGTTCGAAACGTGGTCATCAGTAAATATTACTGTACACCAACGCTGTGAGACATTATCAAAATAAATTTTAAATCGTGGAAAATACCCATTGGAACATTAGATTGAGAAGAATAAGAAGTTCAGCAAAGATATCTTTGCGCGATTCATTAGTACACATTAAACAAAATAATTATCAACTAGAAGTTCGAGAGGCTTAGAAACAAAATTACGCAGGATTAGAACGGATATCAAGTGTGTATAAATGAGCATGGATACAAAATTGAAATAATAATTTTCAACTTGAGGTGTGAATAAGATTACAGCCTTAGAAAACAAAAATTGCACAGGATTAAGATATAATTTAAATTTAAACGGATTATAAAGTGAACGGGAAAGCATGGAAACAAACTTAAAATAACTGTTTTTTTATAACTGGAAAAATGGGTGAATCGAATGAAGACTGAGGGAGTAAGAATCACACACATAGCGAACGAAAAGGGATCAAAAAACAAAAACAAAAACAAAAAAAAAACGGAAGCTACGGTCCATGGTAGTTGTAGAGGTTGGACTAATTTCTTTTGGACACACAGCTCCGGCTTCTCGATGCATATTGCGAGGGCTTCTGCA